ACGTAGGTTAAATTGGATTCCGCTCATTTGTCCCCGCTAGCTTAAGGATCCTAACTCGAGCACTATAGTCGTATTCAGCGATCTTTTTTTAAATTCCGTTTCCTATAAGTGTTATTTTTTTTATTTTTTTTTTTAGGAAAGTAACGATAATAGATATTTTGTACGTTTGTATAAGTGTATTTTGTATTTGTATTTTGTATAAGTTTGTAAAACAAAAATTTGCTGAAAAAATTTGGAAACGTTTAGGCATAATTAAACATTAATTAATAAAAATTTGATTTGAATAACCCTACTATGAAGCATCCATAAGAATGGCAATCTTAACTACAGGCTGGTTATTCCGGTTACCACAAATGAGGCTATGAGAGCAAGAGTGGGCTAACCAAAATTTTGTTGATAATTGAGTTATAGATTGCAATCACTTCTAACGACATAAAGCTTGAAAGAAAAACCGGTCTAACCAACATTTCCGTACATTTTAACATAAATCTCTCCAGTAAGGTGGTTTGCATTATAGAAAATAACAAAAATTTGAAAACACGAATGGGCTAACCCACGAAGTTGTGGAATAGACCAAAATTGTTCAATACATAAATACGTAAAAGATTGCAAGAGTGGGCTAACCATCCTCTTTGTAGGATAGACCGGTTTTAACTGCTAATCAAGGGTACGTATCACACAATATAAGCTTCCAGTGAATAGATGTTTGTGTTAAGGTGGAAATTAGATTGTGTAGTGCAGTCCCTTTCTTTTTAATCGTATCCTCTCTTTGCGCTTGGTGATGTGCTATGGCACACGGTTTACACATTTGAAGTAATACTAGAGGTTCACCAACGAAAAGCAGACCGTGCTAGATGTGATATGAAACAAGATGCAGAGTATGCAAAACAAAATCCTGAAGAAATTACAGTGATTGTATTTGACTTGATGCGAACGTTACTCAAACTAGTTATCAGCACTAGAATTTCTTACTATAAATGCCAGTTGTGGACTTACGTCTTCTTCTTCTTCTTCTTCTTCTTCTTCTTCTTCGTCTAGCCATTCACGTCCACATCTGAACATAAGCCTCTTCAAGTCTTCCTTTCCATTGGTTTTTATTGTACGCTACTTGTAGCCAATTTTTCCCGGCAGTCCTTTTCAGATCATCTGTCCATCTCATAGGAGGTCTGCCTCTGGGTCTTTTGTGTTGGTATGGTCTCCAGGTTAAAATTGATCTGTGCCATTTGTTTAGATCGCTCCTAGCTACATGTCCAGCGTATTCCCATTTCAGCTTTAATGCTTTTTGCACCACATCGGTGACTTTGGTTTTCTGTCTTATCCATGTGTTTGTTTTCTTGTCCTTAAGTGATATACCTAGCAGTGCTCTTTCCATCGCGTGTTGAGTGACTCTAAGTATATTCATATTCTTTTTTGTGATTGTCCATGTTTGTGCCGCATAAGTTAATATCGGAATAATGCATGCATCAAAAACTTTAGATCTAAGATGTAATTGAATTTGTTGATTTCTGAGTATATAGTTCAGTTTACCGAATGCTGCCCAAGCTAACTTTCTTCTTCTTTTTATTTCTTCAGTCTGAATTTCCCTATTTAGGATTATTTTTTGTCCCAAGTATATATATTCTTCAACTTTTTCTATAACTTTATCGTTTATTATTGTCACGGTGTCTTCGGAGTGCATGGCTTTTGTTTTGTTTAAATTCATTTTCAGTCCTATTTTAGAAGATTCGGTATGAAGTTCTACAAGCAAGCTATCAGGATTATGTCATCTGCAAATCGTAGATTACTGAGGTAGCGGCCATTGATGTTTATTCCCTTATATTTCCAATTTAGGTTTTTAAAAACGTCCTCCAAAACTAAGGTGAACAGTTTGGGTGATAAAGTATCTCCCTGTTTGACTCCCCTGTTTAATGGTACAGGGTTCGTGTGTTCATTTTCATTTAGGTAGTATGTAGCTGTAGCTTGGTTCATAGTTTCTTTTATTAAGTTAATATATCTGCTGTCTATTCTACAATTTTGCATTACGTTTATTACGGCCGTGTGTTCTATGGTATCGAAAGCTTTTTCGTAGTCTACAAATGCAAGGAAAACTGGAAACTTGTATTCGTTACATTTTTCTATTAATATTTTTGTGGTTAACAGGTGATCGGAAGTTGAATAGCCTTTTCTAAAACCTGCCTGTTCATATGGTTGGTATTCGTCTAATTTCCTTGTTAGTCGAGTAGTTATGACTTTGGTGAGTATTTTAAACAGGTGTGACAGTAGGCTGATGGGTCTGTAGTTTTCCAGTTTTCGACTATCACCTTTCTTATGCAATAAGATTACTTTAGAGTTGTTCCAGCTCTTAGGGACTTTGCCCTGATGTAAACAACTGTCCACAAGCTTAGTTACAATTGCAATTAGTTCCTTACCTCCTTCTAATATCATATCTGTGGTAATACTATCTTCTCCTGCAGCTTTATTTCTCTTCATGTTTTCCAATGCTGTAGTTACCTCTGAAATTGTTACTTTTGGCATTATTTCTGATCCAACATTTTTTATTAATTTCCGTGCTGGTCTCATCTCATCATCTTGTTGATGTGATCTGTAAAGTTCTGTGTAAAATTCTTCTATTCGTGTCAGTATGTTTTCTCTACTTGTGATTTCATTTTCGTCTTTTCCTATTAATGATATCATCAGACGTCGTCCTAGTGTCGGTCTGAGACATTTCATACTCTTATTTTTTTCAATAGTTGTTGTTATTAATTTTTCGTTTTCTTTTCTTTTTTGTTGTCTGATTCCTTTTCTAATCTGCCTATTAAGTTCTCTATATTCGTCGGTTCCCCTTTTGTTAGATTTATTTAAGATCTTCCTTCTTTCTATTTGTTGTAATATTTCTTTGTCTAATTCATTGCATGTTGTTTTCGGTTTTTTCAGTTGCAGAAGGCTTTTATTCACTGTTTCGGTAATAAGGTTATTCAAATCATCAATATCATTGGAGTTTATCTGCTGCATGCTAACTTGATTTAATGCATGCACTATCTTGTTTTTAAATTCACTATTTTTGATTTCTTCAGATGTCCATTTGTATCTTTTTTCATGTATTCTTTTTCTTTCTAGTTTTTTGTTAATTACTAGTTTTGTTCTTATTAGTCTATGATCGCTTCCTAGGTCAAACTGATTTAATACTGATACGTCTTCTACTAGGTTTCTATTCTTCGTTAAGATATAATCTATTTCATTCTTTGTCTTTTTATCGGGACTCATCCATGTCCATTTTCTGCTTGGTTTTTTATTGCAAAATGAGTTCATTGAGTACATGTTATGTTCATTCATGAAATTGAGAAGTATTTCTCCTCTATCGTTTCTTTTCCCGTAGCCATAGTTACCAATTAAATGTTCATAATCTTATTCTTTTTTGCCCAATTTAGCATTAAAATCTCCTAATAGTATTTCGTAATTTGCTTTATTTGTTTCTATAGCTGTTCTTATTTCATCATAAAATATTTCTACTTCTTCATCGTCGTGGCTTTTGGTCGGAGCGTACACTTGGATCACTTTCAGAGTGGTTCTTTTATTAATCCTGATGATGAGATATGCTACTCTGTCTGATATGGGCTTGAATTCTTCGATACACTGTGTGAGGCTTTGTTTTACCAAGAATCCCACTCCAGTGTATTCGCCACCTTTATGCATAAAATGTGTGCCATTTTTTAGTATTATCCTTACGTCTTAGGAGTCCATAATTTGGCTACTAATAATGCTTATATGTATGTTAGGAACGAGACAGAAGCATCACGAGGACCTCAACAAATAGGATCCTGTTTACTGCATTGTTTTAAAAATGTTGTTACAACAAAAAATGTAATACTATATTCCGATCAATGCGGAGGGCAGAACCGTAACATTAAAATGGCTGTCTGCGATTTTATTGTGTCACATCCTGATTTGTGGTGGAAAATATTGATCATAAATTTTTAGTCAGCGGACATTCTTACCTTGCCTGTGACCAAGATTTTGGAGTAATAAGTAAGCAAAAAAAGATATCTACGTATCTGACGAATGGATAAAGGTAATAACACATGCACGAACTAAAGCACATTTTACGGTAATAAAGATGACAGAAAACGATTTTTATTGTATTAAGAAGTTAGAAAGAAATATAACAAATTGCAAACTTGATACACAAAAATCAAAAGTCCAATGGTTACAGATTCAGTGGTTGCAATACAAGAAAACAAATCCATTTACAATTTACTACAAATACAGCAATAATGCAGATGTTCTCTTTGACTTACTAGATGTCACAAAGAGGACATCCAGGAAAATACTTTAGCTAGATTATTTTTATCCCGATGGACATCCAATAACCAAAGCACAAAAAAATATCTTTTGGAATTACTTTCATTTATACCTCCAAAACATCATGGATTTTACACAAGCACCAGAACCATAAGATCCACTATACAGCAAGAAGAAGAGTTCATTAACGATGAAGATTAAGTATTCTTGTTACTTTGTTTTTTAATAAAGCATATTTTCATATCATAAAGCAACATTGCTATTGTTTAATTGTATTGTATTCTAGGTCTAATCCACATTTCTATTAAAATTTTTAAGGACATACTGATGCAAAAGCGGTCTAATCCACAAAAGAGCTTAAATTTTTATATTTTTGTAAAATATACTGCAAGATCTTCGAGTTTTTTGATATTAGTTTATAATTTGTAAACAATGACTACCTTTTGGCATCATATTTTAATTTTATAAAATTTCAAAAAAACACATATATTCTTGGTTCATGTAAATCCTTTATTTAATATTTGGGGTTAGCCCCCACTCTTGCTCTCATAGCCTCAAATATAAAATTTATGTCTGTATTTATCTTCAAATAAACTTCGCAATAGTTGTGATACTTATAACCAGAGATACATAATTTAGGAATACAAACAATTGCTACTATTTTAACAATGTCTGTTTGGTTATCACAGTTTGGAAATATTTAGCTAAGACTTTATACTTACGTGACAACTGCCTTTGTATTAGCAACTCCCATTAAAACTACTAAGAAAAATACTGCACTTGCAACCATCTTGTAACAATATATTAAATAAATACAAAACAATAAAAACGTTTACATTAATAAGCCTATTGAACCGTCATAGACGATTAATCTTATATTTTTGCGAGAAGTGTTATTAAATCGAAAAAGGAGTGATAAAAATTATATTATCTAACATAACATGACCTTTTGCTTGGGTTTACAAACGAGAGAATAATTATATTTTTATCAAATTGTACAAAGATTTAACTAGAATAAAAATAAACTATACCTATGTGTGAATGTATAAGCAACTAATATAGGTTTGTCATTGATTATTTTATCATCAGATTTTCCAAAAAAGAAGACAGAAGTTGGGGGAAGAAAAGACAAAATATCTATGTTACGGCGGATATCAATGATGTTATTGTTTTATAATCACTTTAAGTAAATTTAGCAATGATAATACCTTTGAGTCTTTGGAAAATCCTATTTTATCCGGGTTGTTAAAAATAGTGAAGCATTTATACAAATTGCCCAACATATTGGTTTACTGAGGATGGATAAATTGAATGTTAGAGTAACCAAGATGTAATCAGAGGTTTAAGGTCTATTTATAGAAACTTTAATCTATTTCTGGGATTTACGGTTATACATAATGGGAAATTCATGTTTAATAATAACAAAATATTTCACTATAAAATTAGCTTCTCCAAAAGAGGAATTTAACTATATAGCTACAATTGACAACTTATAAAATAGTAAATCTTTGCAAATCTTCAAATAGCAGGTAAGGGTGATAAAAAAAATTAATCAAAATATAATTTTTTCTACATAAAAAGGAATAACTTCCGGGAGTTATCTGTATACCACATAGTCAAAAAACTCGAACAAAAGTGAACCTGAACAAAAACCTACTGAACAAAATATTGGTTTAAATACAAAACGGGTAGGAGATTCCGAAAGGAATTCCCCGACACAAAATAAAATAAATAAATACAACAAACCGATATTCGGTAGCAAAATTTCTTCTAATTTGAATACACTCTCTTGACGGGGGCATCTGCACGTTTTAGGTGTCGGTAACAATATGAATTCAAATGGAAATTCAAAAGGATTGGAATAGAACTAATAAGCAATCATCTTATATAGTATACTTCCACAAGTACACTTCCACGAAGACACAAGAATAACCAAGATGGCAACAATATGTTTGAAAACATTAACAGACAAATAAAAGCAAAAATAAGAATAGCAAAAAATGAATGGCTTAAGCAACAATGTATCGATCTAGAACATTTACAAAGAGAGCACGACGACCGTAATTTACATAAAAAGCTTAAGGAGACTGCTGGAATATACAGAAAACAAAGACCAACTACCATAGTTAATCAGGATAACCAGATAGTGCTGGGTGAAAAGGAGAAAATTGATATATGGGAAAATTATATCCAGGAGCTCTTCCATGACGAAAGACCTATGAGTGAAGTTTATACAGACGACCAGCTGACTGGCCCTTCAATCACCAAAGAGGAGATAGAAAAAGCAATATTAAATTCAAAAAACAATAAGGCACCTGGACCAGATGAGATCCCGTCAGAAATACTCAAATTACTAGATGAAAGGGGAATTTCAGCACTACACAAAATATTTAATTTAATTTATGAAACTGGCTGCTATCCTCAACAGTGGTTACGCTCTACCTTTGTTCCCCTGTCCAAGAAAGTCAATGCAAAAAGATGTGAGGATCACAGACTCATTAGCCTGATGAGTCACACTTTAAAGATATTCTTAAAAATACTACATCAAAGATTATACAAAAAATGTGAATGGGACATCAGTGATTCCCAGTTCGGGTTTAGGCAAGGTTTAGGAACACGAGAAGCAATAGTAGCAACACAGGTACTGGTCCAAAATTGTTACGATCAGAGGAAGGATGTGTTCCTATGCTTTTTAGATTACCAAAAAGCGTTTGATCGTGTCCAACACCACAAGTTAATGCAGATTCTCAAGAAAGTTGATATAGACCAAAAAGACATAAGATGCATTGAAAACTTGTACTGGCATCAAACGGCACAGCTAAAAATAGACAATTCTATATCCAAGCCCATACATATAAGAAGAGGCGTTCGACAGGGATGTGTGCTTTCCCCTCTTTTATTTAACATTTATTCGGAAGCCATATTTCAAGAGTCTTTGGAGGATGCAGAGATGGGAATCAAGGTGAATGGAGTATTGATCAACAACATACGATATGCTGATGATGGTGTTTTAATTTGTGACAACATAGTCGATCTTCAACAACTTGTCACTATAATCGGAGAATACAGTGAGCGAATGGGACTAGAGATTAATACCAAAAAGACCAAATTCATGATCATCTCCAGAAACTTGGATGCACTTGAAAACTCCACCATAACACTGAATAGTAAATCCATAGAAAGAGTGAGTAAATTTAAATACCTGGGATCGTGGCTTTTTGAAGACTGGGCATCGGACAGGGAAGTAAAATGTCGCATTGAGCAAGCTCGACAAGCTTTCGTAAAATTCAAGAAGGTACTGACTTGTTCTGAGTTCGATCTTCAACTGAGACTAAGGTTTACTAAGTGCTACGTATGGTCAGTGCTGCTATATGGCGTAGAGGGCTGGACACTCAAAACGAGGGATATAAACAGATTGGAAGCTTTCGAAATGTGGCTTTATCGCCGTATCCTAAAAATACCATGGACAGCGAAAATCACAAATATAGATGTCCTTAAAAGAATAAACCAAGAACGCCAACTTTTCGAAACCATCAAGAAAAGGAAAACGGCGTATCTAGGTCACATCATGCGAAATGAAAAATACCAGTTCCTCCAACTTATAATCGAGGGTAAAATTGAAGGCAAGAGAGGAATGGGACGCAAGAAAATGTCCTGGCTCCGAAACATAAGGCAATGGACAGGGATTAATGACATACAATCTCTGATACATATTGCAAGAAATAAAGAATTAATGGAAAATGTGATCGCTAACATCCATTAGTGGATTTGCATCTGAAGAAGAAGAAGTATACTTCCCTTTAGAAAGTCTAAGCAGTGTATACAACCCATCTATATGGCAAAGAATGCAGCCGCAGACCATTTATAACTTTGACTAATGGAAACAATCTAGATCGAGACGTAGGAAGTTTAGAAGTTCCTGAAAAACTAATTCATATTTTGAATATCGAAAACCTGATGAGTTCCAATAGTTCCATGTTAATATTCAATGTTTAGCAAATAAAGTACGAATGATAGGTTTATTTTTGTTGGAATTTACCTTCGATGTTGTTTGCTTCTCAGAGAACTGGCAAGGTGAAGCAGATCTCTGATACATAAACATCGATGGGTATTTACTGGCTAGCAGTTTCTGGTACATGATGGCAGGTAGCACTCTTCTACAATCCTAGTAGAAGATAGGCTGCTACATGGATTAGTGACCCTGCCTTATGCTAGTTTCTGGTTCTCCCTTCTTCCTTGCCTGAGGTGGCCAGGTCCTCACACCTTTTTTCTATCTCTCCCCTTTTAAAACTCCCACCTTCATCCTACCCTCTACCAACTCGCACTGGCCAGCGCGGTAGAGTATGGCTAAAATCCAAACATGTTTGACACAAAAACACGGCTCTCAGTCCCCGGCAGTGAGCTGATCCTTGGTCAAGGTAGCGATCAAGAAAGGCAGCAAACACAGGGTGCGAAGAATACCCGGGTCTGATCAGGTTACAATGTAAGAACACTGTCATCTAAAGAAAAATTACTGGAATTAGAAGAAGAGTTAAAACACATAAAATGGGACGTTATGGGTCTCTGTGAAGTAAGACGCGAAGAGGAAGACTGTATAACTCTTAAATCAGGGCATCAACTTTTCTATATGGGAAACAAAGAAAAAATAGGAGGAGTTGGACTTCTTATACATAAGAGACACACTAAAAATATCCAACAACTTAAAGGTATCAACCTAAGAATAATACTCTGCATACTGAAGCTTAACAAAAAACCAGCCTTAAAATAATTCAAGCCTATGCACCTACACCTACACACTCGGACGAGGAAGTGGAAACCTTTTATGAAGACCTAGAAAATGCAGTAAAACTAGCTCCTACTACACACAACCTAGTAATGGGTGACTTTAATGCTAAGTTGGGATGTAAACTGCACGGGAACGAAGTTGCAATAGGTCTCTATGGATTCGGACAAAGAAATGAAAGAGGCGAAATGTTTTTGGGTTCTAAGGTGAAAGTTTTTTCACGCATTTCCTGGTAATGTTGTCAGGTCCTGGTGCATTGGATTTGCCAATTTGACAAACATTTTTGAAAGTTTGTTGATAAACTGGCGTCATAATGGGATGATAATGGGGTGCCTGTAGATCAAAGGAGGCACCGAGCTGTCGTGTGATGTCTCTTTCTATCCTCGTACGGAAGGCGAGGTCAAATCTAGGATTATTAGGAGATATTAATGTATTTTGTAAATGAGTTTTGAAAGCGTCGGCTTTCTGTTGATTTGAATTTATGATTTGATTATTCACCACAAGGTGAGAAGGACTATTGGTTTTCTAATCATCAAAAGACTGATATGTTTTTTTGTACACACTTATGACAAGTCAAAAGAAAAGGCAAAAAAGTATTTTTGAAGTGTGTATATTTTTAATAATTCCTATCCTAGCGCTTTCGGCTTTACAAAGCCATCATCGGAGCTATGGTCAATTTATAAATACCACTACAATGGAGAGATCTATTCTGTCTACCTCCTCACAGCAAACAATGGTGGGGTTCTTACACCCGTACCATAACAAAAAAATTTTAATTTTTTAATGTGTCTGTGAAGTCCAGTGTCGGTTTTTTTTGTATGTTTTTTAAGAATTTTTAACAACTAAGTAATTATAATAAAAAAATCAATATTTCAACAAATAAGGAAATTAGATCTCTCCATTGTAGTGGTATTTATAAATTGACCATAGCTCCGATGATGGCTTTGTAAAGCCGAAAGCGCTCAGCTAGGAATTATTAAAAATATACACACTTCAAAAATACTTTTTTGCCTTTTCTTTTGACTTATTGGTTTTCTGTTTAGTTAGGCATTTGAATTTGTGCCAGAATTTCGCACCGTCGAGACAATCA